CCCCCCCCCCCCCCCCCCCTTTAACCACTAGACTCCGCTCCCCTTCCAGAGCCCGGGAGACAACCCAGGAGTCCTGGCTCCCAGATCCCCCCTACACTAACCACTAGACCTCACTCCGCTTCCAGAGCCAGGGAGACAACCCAGGAGTCCTGGCTCCCAGATCCCCCCTACACTAACCACTAGACCTCACTCCGCTTCCAGAGCCAGGGAGACAACCCAGGAGTCCTGGCTCCCAGATCCCCCCCTACACTAACCACTAGACCTCACTCCCTTTCCAGAGCCAGGGAGAGAACCCAGGAGTCCTGGCTCCTACCTGTGCCCCTTGCAGCACCCCCTGGTTCCCCCCCACACACACACACTCACAGCCAAGTCTGACCCACCCTCTCTCCCTGTGTCCCCTCCCCACTGCAGGCAGCAGCTTAGCCTGGCGAGGGAGAAAGGCTCTCGGGGCGAAGGCCCTCAAACACCCACACAGCCTGAACCAAAGGCAGCTCTTTAATGGTGAGAAATACACACGCTTGTCGCTCCCTGCACCGCTCTGCCGTGGAATGAAATCCGCGCAGGCCTGGGAGGGGGGGTTTATACACGGGAGGGGGGAAATATACAGAAATATAAAAAAATATACACAGAGATCCGCCCTCAAACACCCACACAGCCTGAACCAAAGGCAGCTCTTTAATGGTGAGAAATACACACGCTTGTCGCTCCCTGCACCGCTCTGCCGTGGAATGAAATCCGCGCAGGCCTGGGAGGGGGGGTTTATACACGGGAGGGGGGAAATATACAGAAATATAAAAAAATATACACAGAGATCCATCCCAAGACCAGCACCCCAGGCACTGGGCTCACAGTACAACACCAAGGGGTAGGGCTGGGAATCTGCCCCAGGTCAGAGCTTCACCAAAATCAGAATCTTGCGGCTGGGAGCTAAGAGCATCCATAGCACCCCAGCAGAGAAACACCGAGCCCTCCCACCCCTGCCTCCTGGAGCCAGCAGCATTAGTGCCACTCCAGGGGGGAAACTGAGGCACACGGTGGCACACAGACTTGCCTGCGGTCAGATGGCAGAGCCAGGGCTAGAGCCAGAGTCCAGGCTCCCAGACCCCCAACCCCACTCCCCTTCCTGAGCCCAGGAGTCCTGTTAAATATTACTCCAGTCATCCCTTCCCATCCTTTCACTTTCCCACCTCCCTCTTCCTCCACCCACCTTTTACTGTTTCTTTCTTGTCCTTTTCCTCCTCTCTTCCTCCCTTCTCTGGCTCCTGCTTTCCACCAATCTCCCTCCCCCCCTTTTAACCATCTCTCTCTCCGGGAAGGCTCCCACATCCAGGCCCCCTGCCCAGCAGGGACTCGAACCTTCCACTGGAAGAGCAGCAGCTGCCTTTCTACCTTCTCAGTCCACTAGGGGGTGACAGAATCACACTGCTTTGGCTCCGGATGACCCCGTGGTTCATGGGCCTAGACTAACCCCCCAAAACCCCCCCCCCCCCCACTGGCTTTGGAGCAGGGAAAGTCAGCTTAATGCCCCTGCCCCAAAGGAAGGGGGAATGAATCCCTCTGCTGCCCTGTTCAGGGTGAATACAGATAATCTGCTTCTTAGCCCCCCAACCTTGTTCTAATCCACTAGAAATCACTCATGTCCCCTGGCTCCCAGCCCCCCTCCCCTCTGGCAGGTTAGACGAGCCCGTGCCCTCCTCCCAAAAAATACCCCATTTATGGTCACGCAACTCTCCTTCCCTGTGGGGGGGAGCCACAGCCGCGAAATAGGGGGAGGAGGGAACCCCGGTCTTTTTCACAGCGCTGCCCCAATGAACAGCCCACTTCTCTCATGGCTGAGCCAGCCTCTCCCCCCTGGTGGCACTGCTTCTGCCCAAGTCCATGTCTTGCGAGTTCAAAGTCCAGCCTGCGACACACAAAACCAACATCCATCTGTCCCTCCTTTCAGTTCAGGAAACCCGTCTCCCACCGAGGGAAACGCAGGGAGAGCAGCGGGGAAGCTGTCTGACTAGTGGGTTATTTGGTCAGTCGTTGAGTCGAGCGATGGGATGATAGATCAATTGGTTGGTTGAGTCTTCCATTGGTTGGTTGAATGGTGGCTCGATTGTCGACTATTCCATTCTCGACTGGTTGCTTGTTGACCATTCCATTGATCAATGAGTTGGTTGATCATTGATTGTTCCATCAAACAGTGGGTTGGTTGATCGTTGACCATTCCGTCGATCAATGGGTTGGGTGATCGTTGACCATTCCATCGATCAATGGGTTGGGTGATCGTTGACCATTCCATCGATCAATGGGTTGGGTGATCGTTGACTATTTCATCAGCAGGCTGACTGGTCGTTCAATAGGTTGATCCTTGACTAGTCCCAGTCTCTTAGTTGGTGGTTGACCCTTCCATTGGTCAATGGGTTGGTCGATAACTTAGTTAACGGGTCCATGGGTGGATGGGTTGTGGATGGGTCCATGGGCCAACTGATTGACTGTTGATCGGGTCCATCGATTGTTGAGTGACTGAAGGGTTGATTGACAAATGGATTGAGGGGTGGATTGGGGAAGACATGTCTTGACTGGGCAATTGATTGATTGGGCTGAGGGGCCACTGATTATTAGACATTAGGGTTGAGCAGTCAACAAACGGGGGGAGGCGGGGTGCCAGAAATCCATACAGATGAGGTGAAAATTAGGAGCAAACCTGTCAGCTTCAAGATCCCATCATCGTCCTCAAAGAAACGGTGCTGCCTTGGGGAGGGGGCTGGCGAGGAGGGTGGAGGGAGGAATAAAAGGAAAACCGGTGGAAGAGAAGGAAGGAGATGAGGGAAGGGCATGCACACAGGGAGAGGGAGACTGGAAAAGGGAAAGGAGGCGAGAGAACGCATCAGGGAGAAGGGGGCAGCCAAAGGAGGGGTGTGGATGAAGGGATGGGGGGGGAAGCCGAGCCCCCTCTCCTATAGCCCAATTTCATCATCTAGCTCCTCGTCAAATGTGTATGCCTGCTCCATGCATTCCTCCTCCTCCTC